AAGTTGCTCGCAGCATCCCAATCGACGCTGTTTGTTCTTATCTGTGAGACGGCGTGGTACCCATCGTGCACAGATTTTACAGTATCCCAGTTGTTCAATATGAAGCCGACACGTTCCTTGGATATTCCAATATGGTTTGCGATACACTTTTGAGTGATTTGCTGGTCATTTTGAATCAAATCGTCGATGAGTTTGCGAAGATTATCGTCTGTGGCAGCGATCGGACGTCCACTGCGTGTTTCATCAACAATTATGGCTTTTCTAGGCTCGCAACTACGAAATTTTATTACCCATCGATTTACAGTAGACCTATCAACAGCATCGTCACCATAAACAGCCTTTAAACGACAATGAATCTCAGTAGGAGTCACTTTTTCAGCAGTTATAAATTCGATAACAGCACGCTGTTTAACTTGCATTGACATAGCACTAGAACACGTCTCCATACTTCCGCTTCTCGAAATACACTGGATGAACTCAACAACCTCAAACCTGCGCATGCGTATTGAGGGGGAATGTTACTTCCACATGCCACCTGGTGTGCTCCTGAAGGTCATTTCGTTCGCGCTCTACAAGCATGTGCGCATTACTTTTCAGCCTAGCCTACCTATGTATATCTTCATATTATGAGTTTTTGTGGTAGTATGGTTATGAGATATGACTATACATACCCAGTTTCCTCTGCACTTGCTTGTACACAAATCTCCTTACTGGTGTCTAATAGAGTTTATGTGTTTATCTGTATGGTATTTAAGTTTTAACCTATTAAATCAATATCACTAGGCTGTACCATTGCTGGTATGTCCCATTCAACTGCCGTCCTTCTCACATCATATTTATTATAAAAAATTTAAAAGAGTTCAGGTCCTTGTTCATAGACTCTCTAACATGTTATCAGACACAGTAAATTCTGTCTCATGCTACAATCCATTCACTGTTCTGCAACCAGCCTAGTGAATACAACATTTAAGACACTATTTCAGTGGCAAACTACACTCAACTCCCGATTATCCAGGATAATGGTGGGGATGGAAATCACGATTAATAAAAAACCCGGTAAAGACAAATTTTATTAAAAGTAGTACTGTAATACTGTACCTTCATAGTACTATAGGCCTACCTGTATTTAAATTTATTCAACCTCATTTTTATGTCATCTCATGGCCTATTTAATACTTTTTTTACATTACACTGAAGTATGAATTAGTTATTTCAATCACAGTGTTCAACAACATCCAACACTTTTTATGAATATTCACACTTAACACTTAAAAAAAATTTAATAATGTCGTTTGCTTTTTCGCGGCATTTCCCTTTTTATGGATATCCGTACAAAACCTACGTAATATTAGCTTGTCACTTAATAAACTGTTCTCTTCACTCTCAAGATAGTCTAGTAAGGATTCCAAATGATTAAGAGCAGCACCATGTGATACTTTCTTACTAGCAGCACTGTCCACCTCTTCCTCATTCTCACTTTCTTCCCGCTCTTCTGACTGCACCCCCACTTAACTTACGATTTTGTCACTGCTTAACATTTCGAAGCCCGGCTCACACGAGTTACTGTTGAATACTTAACACAACACACTTCCTCTTACACCCTGACATTTTGCTAACACACTTGAAGATTGATACAAAGAGACTAATTGGGGTGGTGTATCTGTCCTTGAAACTTTCCACAAATCCTTGCATTCTTTCACCCCTACCCCAGAACATTGTGTCAGCATAACGGGACCAAAAAATGCTGAGCTCGGTTCACACTAGTGCGAAAATAGTGTTACAACTCACCATGTGAAACAAAAGTGAATGAATATTAAACAACATATAAGCCGCAAACCGGTTAATCCGCCCCCCCCCCCGGATAATCGAGAGTTGAGTGTATGTTGCAATGGACCTGTTTACTGTAAACTATTTGTAAATGGTAGGAAAAAGGTAACGCTATCCCTGTAACAGGCCGTGGAGGCCCATAGGGTTGTAAGACAATCGGTTCACAGAAGGCGGTAAGGTTGTCGGCCTTATGCACCAGTCACCCCTTACTCCCCAGAAGATTCCTGGTACTCATTTCTGTTAGAGGCTGAGATGACCCCAGGGACATAGTGTGGCTGGAAGGATTAGGTAAATTGAAAAAAATCCTTCTCATCAGGACTCGAACCCATGACCTTCTGGTTTGTAGCACAGTATCTCAACCAACTACGCTACCGCGTGCCCCCTTAAACTATCTGTACTAAAAAGTATATAAATTTTATATAAATTTCTTGTAAGCCATTTAATTATCTAAGTTGGTACTACTGAGTTACCTGCTTGGATTATGCTACATTTCGTATAGTATAGTGCTGCAATCTAATGGCAAATAAATTAGTTACAATGTGTTTAGTGTATGAATCACACAAGAAAAACAAAAGACCCTTTTATGACTGATGAACACATCAAGTTTTACATGTACATTACCTTTTTTAACTACCTATATTTTCTCCCCATTTGTTTTCTAACATGATGATTTGGGGCAGCCTCCACATGTGATTAGTATGGAATATTTTCACAGTGTCTTTGAATTAAAAGCAGTTGTACATGAAGGAGAAACCCGTAAATCAGCAACAAGAAGAAAACATTTATGAAAGAATAATCACACTTCTCTCATAATACAACTATACCTGAGTGATGAATCTGAGGTCAGAAAGTGTAACAATCCTAGCTGCTGAGAGGAACACAATCAATCATATATATATATATATACAGTGCGTACAATCAAGTGCGCGCCGCGGCTGCAATTTGCCGTGAGTCATACCACCGCAGAACGGATGCAACTCCTCCCCGCGACTGCAGTGCCGTTCCCCGATAGCGTGAGTGTAGTGGTGTCGCTGAGTCTCCGTCCATCAGTTGCTCTACATGCACACATTTATAAGAATACAGTAAAAAGATAACTTACCGTGGTTTATAACAGGTGCTGAAAGTGACCTCCTTCTGCTTGCAAACATGCCGCGCATCTCACAAATAAATTACGCGACACTCTCTGCAGTTCGTCGACGGTAATTGAATGAATTACGCGTGTAATTTCATTTTGAAGACTATCAATGCTGCGGGGATTATTTTTGTAGACTTTTTGCTTCAGGTTGCCCCAAAGATAATAATCAGAAATACTGAGATCTGGGGATCTGGGAGGCCACAGTCCTCTACTGA